CGGACCTATGTTGATATAAAAAATAAATATTATTTACGTGAAGAATCTCCCCATGAGAGATTTTTAAACATCCTGCATTTTTTTGTAACTAAAAATTGTCAAAATTCTTCAAGTAATTCTATCGTAAAATATAATTCATTATTATTAAGATCTTTTATCAGCATGCTTCAAAAACTAGAAAAATGGTCCAATTCAATACAATATCTTCAATTCTCATTGAACTTGTATTAAAGAAAGGAGCTTTTATTTAGTAAACTATCTTTAAGCCGGCGAGTGGTTATTGAAATCGCTTGAAATAAAGCTCAACCGAAAAGGAGTCGAGAGTAAGTTTCCCATTCGCTTTTCAATAAGCGCTGATGTTGCCGGATAGAGCACAATATGAAACTTGACATAAAGACTTTAATCGATCTGAAAGCCTTTTTAAATGCTGCCGTCTCGCGATATTTCATTCGGGGCGAGTGTTGGCACAAAGCCTAGAGTTAAATTGTGCATATGCTAGATGTTATCAATAGAACGAAATGGATCGAGAACGAAGGGATATAAAAAATAACAAATAATTTGAGATACAAGAAACTTAACAGTTCATAATTTAATAGATATTTACGATACAAGTGAGTTAACAGCATCATTATGATACGTGTGTGTAAGTTGCACAACGAGTGCGTAGCACGAGTTGTGTAACCAAACAAGTATCATAATGGAGTTAACTCGCGTGTATTGTACAGTAGGGTGGAGCGAAAAAATGAATTTTATATATTCAGTACGCCTGACTCTGTAAAGTACGGAGAACTTCAAAATAATCATTTAAAAATTAAAACGGAAATTTGTCGACGCCCTCTTCCACCGCCCCAACCACTTCACTTTTATTTTTCACATTTTCGCGCTGTGGTGGTGAAAAATAAACAGTAACGAAGAAAAATCATTTACAAAAAATATTTGTTTTAGTAAGACAAGTATTTTGCAAGCTCAGGTAGTATAAAAATAAATAATACGTTTTTCTTTCACTTTAAAACTTATTGCGTTTTTGCCCGTAAAATAGTATACTTTTTATTTGAAAATAGTTTGTGCCATTACCTATAAAATATAATGACCTTTAGGACTGACTTTTATGGGCGAAAAGACAAGACGCCCACTTTTACAGATAACAGAAAAAGGGCAATAGTAGAAGAACATGTTGTGTTGGTAGAAGAACCCAGATCAAAATATATTGGTCACATATACTTCTGGATCTTCTTCAAGTATATTAGCATATAATAACCAGATTAGAAAGAAAACTGGATCGTCCTCTTCAATGGTTTGTTTGCATGTTGCATGCTAACGAGCTTCCGTTGCGACATCTTTTATTACATCTTGACGGTGAAACATCTGGTCCCAGGGCATTTAGAGGTCCTACTTTTTAGTAGCTCTAAAAAACTGCCCATTGTAAAATTTTCCAAAATAGACTTTGAGTTACCGAATATGGAATTAAGCACCGAACAAAGATATTTATATGACATGTGTGTTTCAATAAGAAGTGGAAATTCCTCTGAAGGGTGTCAAAACGTGATTCTGGAAAATTAGTGCACTCTCGCTGGTTGACTACAGTAAACAGAATTTTGCGCCTATACGTAGCTACGTCAAATCCTGATCAGAATTTGGTACCATTCTGAGAAGAATTCTCAGAAGATTCTGAGAAGAATTCTCGATTTTTTAATAATCCGGTTTAAAATTTGACGCTGACGACTACTATGATTTAATTGAATGACAAAGTTTGCGTTATAATGAACCCTGTGTAACCAGAAAGCTGACCGTAAAACTAATAAAAGAAATGATAGAAAACCCAGAAGATTCATCTTTAGCACATCAGAAATTACTCTTGTCATACCCAAGCAGTAGAACGGGCAGGAAAGGTGGTAACTGAAGCATCCATAACGGTTTGCGGCTATGAAAGGAGGGATGGAGTCATAAGAAGCAAACTATAAATTCAAGAACATTGATGCCTAAATTTGAATCAAAAAAGAATTTTAACACCAAATAATTGTTCTTTAAGTTTATGTTATTATTTTATTTTGTTTTGTCTTCTTTTTCAATTAGTTTTTTCTTTAATACAAATATTTCCTTAAAAATTCGTCTTTTATTACTTTACCTCGTGGAGATAATCACAATAAAAATAGTGCATTCAAAATACATACCTTTTTGAGTAGAAAGCTATTGGACACTCAAGCATTATCATTTTAAAACAATCCGATTTTTTTAAAATTGGCTGTGGCGGTGGAGGGGGGAGTCGTAGAAAAAAAGTTTATATACAAAAAATACTACTATTTCCATAATAAAGCTTTCTCATACTCAGACGAGATCATTTTCAACAAAAAAAATCTGAAATTTTGGCTGTGGCGGTGGAGGGGGAAATTAAAAAAACAAAACAAAAATACGTGACGCCTTATTTTTTCATATCACAGCTATTGTCCGGTCAGGAAACTTAATTTTCGAAAACAAAAAAATTCTCACCTATATTGTCGCTCCACCCTATTGTACAGGGTGTCCCACTAAGAATAGCTCTCGACTGTATCTCGGAAAGTATTAGTATTATAAGTTTGTAAAAGGGCCGCTAGGGGGCGCAACTGCTATGGAAAATAAGCAAATATAATTTTTACAGAATTTTGACTAGATAATGGGTACTATAAAGGATAGCTTCATAATCTTCAGTAAATTTTGAATTTTTTTTGTTAGAACCATTTTCCCTTATCTGCTTAAATAAAGTGGTGGGGGAAGGTTAGATCTATCTTTATTTAAATCTTAATAACTCCGAACTGGAGGATCAGAATCCAACAAACGAGGGCTCGTTTAAAAGAGCGTTTCTTTCTCTATATTATACCATAAAAATAATAATATTAAGGTTTTGAACGTAGAGGCTAGGGGGCGCTTTCTTACAATTTAACAAACATAGCGCGTTTTTTCAAAACAATTAAATACGATAGTATATGTAATTTTAGCTGATAGTAAAGAGTAGTAAAAGCTTAAAAAGTCAGCGAAAACCGCATCTTGATATCTTCTTTCAAACCGAAGATATTAGCAAAATTTTAATAAATACCAAAAAATAAGCCCTTAATTACCTTATTTTTACAACACGGTATCAGTAGCCCTCTTGATTATGCCCATTCTAACAAAAAAATTACATAGGAACAGTTAGTTTATTTTAAAATCGACGAAATACCAGAATACCATAATACCAGATGTATTAATATCTAATAATTAAGATATTAATAACTGTGAACAAGAAACGATAATTCAGTGAAGTCAAGTAGGCTTTGGAAAAAAGTTGCTTTTGACGTAATAGTATAAACGTCAAATTGTTATTAGATCAGCATTTTAATAGTCTTAGCAGCGCTTTTTATCTTTTAATTGCTTTTTCAAAATGCCTTTATTATTTGATGTAGCTGAAGTTGTTGACAATTTGAAAAAGCAATCAAAAGATAAAAGATGCGTTTTTCGCTGACTTTTTAAGCTTTTACTACTCTTTAATATCAGCTAAAATTACATATACTATCGTATTTTTTTTTTTTTTGAAAAAACGCGCTATGTTTATTAAATTGTAAGAATGCCCCCCCTAGCGTCTACGTTCAAAACCTTATACCTCAATATTATTATTTTTATGGTATAATATAGAGTAAGAAACGCTCTTTTAAACGAACCCTCGTTTGTTGGATTCTGATCTTCCAGTCCGGAGTTATTAACATGAACATAAAACATAACCTCTTATGGACGAATACGAGATACGAATATTAGTAATTAGTATAGTACTATTAGTAGTATTCTTTCGTTTTGAACGAACTAAAAATTTTCACTTAAACTGATTTATAAAGGGAATCGACAAAGAAAGGAACGATCCGATATAGAAAAATCCAGAAATCATTGTTATTTCCTATACCACGTAGGAATAAATCAGTTTAAGTGAAAATTTGCATTTCGTTCAGAACGAAAGGATACTACTATTATTTGGTTCATTTCCATCTCACCCAAATTTCACCGAACACCTGCCGAACACTAAAATGAATTTTCTTCTTTTATCTAAATAATTATTGATTGCAACTAATAAAATAAAAAGAAATACGAACCGCACGTAAACAAGGACATACTTATATCGTTTTAGAAGAAGCTTTTATTTTAGATATGAGCTTTTCAATAGGAATTGAAACAATGATAAACTCGGCACTTTTAAATTTAAAACTTTAAATTATGGTTTAATTTATTAAACGGCTTCGGCACAGTTAATAGAATACATTGAATAAAGAATATTTTTTTTTATTTTTTATTCAGTGATAGAATATAGTATAGTATGGCAATGGTTCAGATTTGTTTAAAATAGCCCCTAGACGAGTACTAGCTGGGACGAATTTATTTTTAGGTTAAATTTATAATACTACTCTTTATATTACTAAATAATTCGAATTATTAATTCGATTGTGAAATATGAATTATTGCTAATTATTCGATGGTGAAAATAATTCGATTATTCCCATCACTAGTATTGATTGGGTCGACCGGTCAACTGCGACAAATCTGCTATATCCCCTTCCACGTCTCTTAGCGATGTGCACAGTTTCTCGGTTTATTTCATACGTTTGGCAACGTGTTTACTGTCCTCTCTTTGTTCAGTACATTATAAACGCATTGTACTCTTCTTGCATACGGAAATCTCGACCCAAGACTAACCTTTGTATAATGTTATAAATAAATTTCCATTTTTTTTACTTAAATCAGAAACTAATCAAAATACAAGCGTTTTTTTTTTTCACATGCGTTTATCAAACTTCTAATAACGCAACCTTTGTCTCATTTAACCGAATTCGTATCTCTCATAGTTTCACAGATCCCAATGTTGAGCATCGAAATTGTAACCACCCTGTAACTAGATTCTATATTCACTGATAACATGACACACGTTATTTTTAAAATAAGTATCTCAAAACGATGTATTTTACATTTTTTTTATAATTACTAATTAAATAATTCTGTTTCAGGTCAACGATACGTTGTGAGGCAACCGGACGAAGATGGATACTACAGACAAAACCAGGACTACTCTTACTCCATCCCCCGTACACCCATAGGTTTTCAAAACCGGAACTTTCGACCTCTAGACCGAAACTTCCATACCTCCGAGTTACCTATAAATCCACAACAAAACTTACCTCAATACAGACACCATTTCCTTCAAACCGAACCCAACTACAACATTGGAAACAAAATAGCCAACACTCCGGCTGGATTTAGATCATCGCCTGAATACTCCTACGAGCAAAGTTTCCCCGGCCGGTTTCCTCAAGGAGAAACGTTTTTAGGTCAAGTAACCTTAAATAACCCTTTAGAAAAACCAGAATCTTTGAAAAGAACCCTGGAAATCAATAGCAACGCCTTTGATGGAAACCAAAGAGGTTCAAAATCTCTTTCGACTGGTTCGAGGAATGGCGTATTGGTGGATCGATTAAGGGGTTTGCCGAAATTGGGTAAAAATCCTCCAGTTTTTCAGTCGAATAAGGAAAAAAATGCTCTGGATTCCAAAGATGATGTTGAAGAAAGTGAAGTGGAAGAAGAGAATGACGAAGGGAAAGATAATTATGATAAATCCGTCAAGGAGAACACTAATGATTTGAACAAAGATGAGGAATACTACGATGATGAACAGGATGAAGAATATGACGACGAAAGCGAGGTAATTGATTAATATTTATACAGGGTGGTCCGAACTGTATTCCGGAAACTTCTCCCAAAATTTTGATATGCTTTTGTTTTGATTTTTGCGTTCAATTTTTGATTAACATCAATATTTGTATGAAAATTTGTGTCTGAAATTTGATTTTTATGTGACAATATGACTCCTATTTGTGTTTACATGTGTTTTAGCTGTTTTGAAGAGTAATAACTTTTCATCCGTACCTGTACAAAACTACTGAGTGAATTATAAAAAATATACATTTCCGTGATTTTTTGCGTAAAAAATGTCTTGGGAAAAATCGCTACTAGTCGTCTTATGGAGTTTGCTGGTGGTCTATTATGATGTGCAATCAAAGTTATTTTTTTAATTTCCCTATATTTATTATTAAACACAGTTATTTAACTGAAATTATAAATTTGAGAAGTTTTTATTTTTTTAAATTAATCATAAATTTTTCTTAGAAAAAATGATGACAAAACAGTTTCTGTTGAACTTTTGGCACAAAAGCATTTCAAATTTATGATTTCAGTTTCATAACTATTTAGTCAACATATGTATGTTTAATTTATGTCAATGGTATCGACAGGTATTGATAATTTCGATTCCAAATATCTCGAGAGCCATTACTCGCTGCGATTTTTACCAAGAGACCTTTTTTTACGTAAAAAACATCGTAAATGTATATTTTTTTACACAATAGTTTTATACAGGTACGGACGAAAAGTTATTTCTCTTCACACCAGTTAAAAATATGAAGATGTCACCCTCTACAAGTAGGAGTCTTATGACATAACATCAAAATCAAATTTCTCACGCCAAAAACTCCCAGACACCCATTTTCATCCAAATATTGACGTTACTTCAGAAATTATTTGGAAAAAAATCGAAATATAAATGAAACTTCTACACCATGTATCTCCGAAGCTAAGCATTTTTAGGACATACATTTGCACGAATTTTTTACTTATTTTTATCTGCAGAATATGCTGCCAAAGTTTTCGAAATACAGTTTGGACCACCCTGTATAAATTTGAGATAATTTATTTATTGTATTGTATTTATTAATTTACTTCAATCATGTTTTATTATTAAATACATCAGTATAATAGCCAAATGCGGGTTTTGTTGGTGGCAAATTGATTTTAATAAACGTTTATGTCTAACTAGCGTGTACCAGCGACTTCGTTCGCGTCGAATTATCATTTGTAATGGTGATGATAAAGCAAAGCAAGAATTTCCATTAACATACAAATTGGATAAAATTTTCTCACATTTATGTCAGCATGAGTGAAAACAATATGGCAATATTATTATATAACTTGGTAATATTTGAGGGGTAGTTTCATCTCGTTGGAATTTGACTTTCAAAAAATCCGTTTGCCAAAAATAAGCTTTTTACGTCAAGCAGTTTAAGCAGAATCGTGGTTAAGAAATTACCTAACTTTTTGGAACACCATGTATGATTTTTTAAAAAATTTCAAAATATGTAAAAAAAAACAAATAAATTATGCTTGTCCAAGCGTTTTCCCGAAAGACTAACCGTTTTTTAAATAACAAATATTGTAATATTTGAGGGGCGTTTTCACCCTCTTGGAATTTGAGATTCGAGAAACCCCTCCTTATCGAACCTCTACACCCCACAGTCAATCCGTTTGTCAAAAATCAGCTTTAAACGTCAAGCAGTTTAAGCAGAATCGTGGTTACTCAATGGTTATATTTTATGAAACACCCTGTATAAATTTATAAAAAATTTTAAAATATGTAAAACAACAAAATAAAATATACGTGTTTTACCACCCCCTTAGAATTCAAGTTTCGAAAAATCCCTTCTTATCGAACCTCTACACCCTAGTAAGTCAATCTGTTTTCCAAAAATCAGCTTTTTACGTCAAGCGTTTTAAGCAGGATCGTGATTAATCAATGACCAGATTTTTCGAAACACCCTGTATACATTTTTAAAAAAACTTAAATTATGTAGAAAAAAAAATAAAATATACGTATTTAAGCGGATACGTATTTTTTTTCGGAAACTTCACCATTTTTTAAATAAAAAATATTGTAATATTTGAGGGGTGGTTTCACCCTCTTGGAACTGGAATTTCGAAAAATCCCTTCTTATCGAACCTCTACACCCTAGAATCAACCTGTATGCCAAAATTGAGCTTCTTACGTTGAGTGCTTTGAGCAGGATCGTGATTAATCAGCATGTCAGTCACTTAAGGATTTTATATATTAGTATAGATAGTAATAAGCGCTTGACTTTATACAGGGGGTTTCAAAAACATGTGCCGTCTCTCGTGGAGAGATTTCTCACGTAAAAATGAGACTTATTCTTTATATCAACATAAGTCCGATTCTGCTTTGTTTCGTAGCTATAGTTAAAATCTTTTTTTTTCGATTTTTTATAATTTTCCTCCAAGTGCTTTTAGTGATTAGAATAAAATTTTGAGGGTAAAACTTACTACTGTAAGTGCAACATATTTTAATAATGAAAAAGTATCGACATATTCACCAGGGACGTATTCACCATATGTGTTATCACTGGAATATTTTTCTAAAAAAATTTTTAGAAAAATATTTTAGCAAAATTGTTTAATTAAAATATAAAAATAAAATTGCTAGCAAAATTGTGTACTTGTAAAACACTGATTACACACGCCGCAAGTACATGTGCGAGGGGTACCCGACTAGGGAATGCAATCCCGCACCAAAATCTGAATCCCGCAAACCTGCGGGATTAAAGCAATCAATCCCGCGGATCCGCAAAATTGCGGGACTGTAACAATAGTCATACATTTGGTCCTAAATGGTACAAAAGGCATTGTACATTTTGCTTAGGCCCACAATATAATGATATAGCGTGTATCTTAAACTAGCTTTACAGAAATTTGGACCGATGTATACAGGGTGTTCAAAAAATATAGTTAATTTAAATAAACTTAAATTTTATTATAATTTATCTACTTATTTTATAAATAAAAATGTTATTCTGATGTTGAAGTTTTTTTTAACTTCTGTTAAAAAAAAACTTCAACGAAGAAGGGGAATCCCCCGGGTTCCGAGCGTCGACGCATCGGCCCGGAACGAAGCGGATTGACCTTGATCATGATCGATATAGAACCCAGTAGTAATATGTCGATCCCGCGGATCCCGCACAGTAAATCCCGCAACTTTGATCCCGCGGAATCTCAGAGGGATCCCGCAAATGCGCAACAGCATTTGCGGGATTGCATTCCCTATACCCGACGCTCTGTACAGAGTTTTAAACTCACTGCAAGAAGAAGTAAGGAGCAAAATTGTAGACCGTTTAATGCTAATTAAAAGTTGTATCTTGATATTTTATGGATTTCGGTTTTCTTGATGAGATGAATGCAATTTTATTAATTCAGGTCTAATTAAACGTTTAAAAAAATATAGTGTCATTAACTGAACAAGTGTTAAATAAGTAATCATTGATTCCTCATCAAAAAATATGAAAGTTACAGGATGTTGAAACTTTAAACCTGAATCACCCTGTATAAACTAAATATTTTGAAATAAATATATATATTAAAAATATCGAACATGTAACTTTGAACAAATTGAAAATGAAAAACACGGTTGATAATTTTTCCGCGGTTAATAAAAGGAATTTATTCATAAAATCAATTTTATAAAAAATGCTTGTATGAGGTAAAATTCAACAAATGGATATGTAACGTGTATAAAATGAAAATAAAACATTCCCCAAATAATTCAGAATAAAAAGTAATTAAAATATTTTTTGTTCACAGTCGAGTAATCCTCAAACTGAAAATAAATTGTAATACCAACCTTACTAAACTATTTGTAAATTCATTATTATATTCATGTACTAAAAAAAATAAATAGTTTAGTAGATATGTTAGGGATATAAAAACGGATATCATCAAAAGTACAAAATGTTATAAAATGCCGTATACGTCTCGCAAGGCAATTCTTGTATTACAAATAAGAATTGCTCAATTCTTGAATTACAAAGAATTGCTGAATTCTTGTATTACAAAGAATTGCTGAATCCTTGTATTACAAAGAATTGCTGGATCGGACGTAAAACAAAAAGTTAAGTTTTTGATTTAAGCAAAATAATTCGTACTATTTCGGTTACTAAGCATATCTAACGCCCAGGACTAACCTCCATAACAATATCCCCCCCTCACCTTAACGAAAACCCAGTATAATATAACGATATTCAATACAGAATTCATGTTTCTTCATAATACTATTAAGGATGCCTTCAGGCAAAAATGCTCTTAGATCATTTTTATCATTGTCAGTAGATCCTTATTATTCAGGGTGTTTCAAAAAAAATGTGCCATCTCTCGTGGGGAGATTCCTGATGTAAAAATAAAATTTATTGAACAGAAATTTATCAACAGAAAATTTGAATTTTCATATGGGACACCCTGTATATTTTTAATTTATTAAAAATAATTTAAAATTATCTTTCCAAAAATATACACACTTGATATTTTGCTCGATTCCTCTTCGAGATATAGAGTATATAAAAATTCCCCAGCTTTAAATAAGTAGGCTTTGAATAGCACCGGCTGTAATGCAAAAAAAATTCTAGCTGTGAGCATCAATTAAAAGGAAAATAATATTTGCTATGAGAGATGCAGAATTTTATAACAATTTAAAATATATGTAACCAACATCAACACATTTAAACTATATCTAATAACAATAAAAATAAATAGCAAACCAAGACATGAGATTTTGCTACATGTGTTCTACATATCGACCGTCTTCTGTTAGGGACAGACGGGACAGTTTTTTTAACATTTCTCGCGGAATTCATTAACTCAGTGGGGGTGAAAGATACCCTCTCATAACCGCTAAGTATTTCTAATTCATGTCTAGATTATACGGAAGAATAAGGAACCTTTATTCTTCCGCAAATATATCCGTAGGATTAGATCCATAGGCACTAAATCAGGCGGCTTCGACAGCCAACGGCTGGGATCTTGGTTAGCTAT